CAATGTGTGCACATGTTGTTACGCTCGTTGATTGCTGTTGAAATAATAATATAAATCGGAATGTAATTACGGCAAAGTTTGCATATCAGATATCACGCCAATGCAGAGTTTAAAGCTTTTGCGCATATTTAAGTAAATAAAACGTAACCATTATTTACAATAAATCTTTGCTATTGAGAATGAATTCCAATGGTCAAAAATATAATTGTATGCAGTACCAATTAACAGACGCATTCATTCACAATAAATTGGGAATTGTAAAAACACGATGATCCTCACGTTTTTACACTTAAAAGCAAACATGGACGGGACCGTACGCATTCACCGCAATCCAATTGAAGACAATTATACAAGACCAAAAAGTGGACGTCAATGAATTTTTCACAGCATTGTGTCTATGGCAACAACAGACAAATTGCATTTAATCAGAACATTCTCTGGCAGTTGGCAGTGGCAATTGCATTGTGCGTTGGCATTTGTCGAGTGTATTGCAATCATGCTGGGAGCACAACGGTGCGTATACGCAAAATGCGCCAGAAAAACTTTATTGCACACAAAATACACATACGCCGCGTGGACTTGTTGTTGTTATATTCAAGCTAAATATGATTGCACGTATGTGTGTAGAGCCCATATATATATACTCAGATGCCAGTGGCATGTTGTTGTTGTTGTTGTTGTTGTTTTCCCGAGTTTCCTTGTTTTGTTTACACATCAAATGCTGGCACTTCTGCGAATAGCCTGCGCGCGTGTCTGTCAAATCAGTGAAAATCTGCTGTGACAGCAGCAAAGAACCCCCAGAAGTACGTGTCAAAACTTGATGCCAAGCATAACAGAATAAAGCAATAACACAGCCGCAACCAGCACACATATGGAATGCCTGCTGAGAAAAAACGAGCCTTGCAAGGATTCATGACGGAAAGCCTATACGTGGACCGCAGTAGATACTTATCAATATATACATATATATAGAATATCTATATTTTATGGGCTCCGAATTGACGCCTCTCTATCTAACAAACGTGGCATATAGTTGGACTAGTAGATAAATATATATACATATATATATTGATTTATATAGTATATATTTATGTTCCTTAGCTTATATACATATATTTCTCTTTACTTTCTGCTTAACATTTGTTATTGAGGGTATGCATACAGGACATCTTCTCGTCGAGCATAGCCTTCAAATGCCTTGTAACTTATTTTTTTCTTAGATTGACAAAAAAAGTGCCTTTCACATGCATGGCTCACGCACACACACAGTGCGCAGAAAATGTCCCCAAGAATTAAAGCCCAATCAACCCTTTTTCACCGCCTCAAGCAAAAGCTTATCAGCGGATCGCATCTAACAGGCTGCCAGCTTAGTTATAAATGTTGTTAAATGATGACAACGCCATATTAAAGAAATACAGCCCACAACACACACACCCACCCACACGCACACACACAGATAGCCTAATAAAAACACTCAAAAATGGCTGCTTATTTTATCTAATGCTTTTGAGTCCACGCCAAAGGGCCTTAAAGCAAGCGCCAGAGTGGCCATCAATGCAAGGACCAGGCAAAGCTAAAATACAGAAAAAATAACAGCAAAGAAGGCTGCTCTCCTCCCCCTCTGTCGTCTAGAGAGTACCCGACTAGACAATACCCTGTGCTCAACTTTTGACACTCATGCTCTCTTAGCCTCTAAGTGGACACTTTAATCAGACTAGGAATTCTTGATTGACAATATTCCGACAACCTGTGTGCACATGCATACCCTTTCGACGCGTATAGGGTATTGCCCAAAATAAGTACGAAAACAAAATCAAGCATTGCTTATGTTTCGTTACCCCAGCAACTTGGTCCTTTGTTGACTAACAAATATAATTAAATTTAACTTAATATGAACAACTCTTTAAGAGAGTTAAGGCAAAACATTTGTTTATTTTATTCCTGTCTTTATGTTCAGCTTGAGAATCTGGTTTCCTGCATAATGCATAATGAAACAAATTCAATTTCCCATTCTGAACCCACAATTAGCATACACCTAATTTGGTTAGATATATGCAATGGATAAGAGACTAGGGTTTGAATTAGATATTTTTCTAGCAACAGTTTATTCCCATTTCAAGCATAGAAACATGTTTGTTTCCCAAAGTTTCTTAAAGTAAACTTTTTGGCATAAGGTCACAGTTGTTACTGGTAGAGATTGTAAAAACTCGCAAACGCATTCAAATTTGTAATCAGGCATGCACTTTATGGACTCTTTTTTTTCACGTAAAAATGCAAATCTGTGCTCAAATTCGCCCAAGTGCGGGGCATGTGTGCCTTAAAGCCTGGCAGGCTACCAAAAAATAAAGTCATCTATTTGCGACAAGATATAAAAATGTTTTAAGCTGGCAAACGTGTATCTTAAATGTGGGCTAAGTAATCATTTGGGTGTAATTTGAAATCAATTTAAAAGCCATTTTAAATGCGTATTCGTCACAATTTATGGCTCTAATGTGTTCGCTTTAAAGACAAATGACAGCCATTTAATTGACCATAAATCAATAACAAATCAATCATACGCCCTGCTGTACGAGCATCGTCAGAAAATGCATTTCGTCCTAATATATATAGTGTGTATGTATAGATATATATACAATATATAAAGTTGCATCAGAGTTTCAAATAATTTTTGTGCAATGTATACAATAAAACTTTGAGAACTGTCGAAACTTGATTGGGGAAAATGTGCAGAAAACTTATTTGCCAGCAATTAAAAAACTTTAAATGCCCGAACTGACAGCTGTACAAAGGATATAATCATTTTTAATATGCAGCTTAATGGAATTTAAGCCAAGCCACACAATATTTAAATGGAATTAATATTTATAATCGTTAAAGGTACTATAATTAACCCTTAATTGAGTTCAAGCCAAGTTAAATAGCTGTGCAGTAAGGACATGCCTTCAAATAAATCATTGATGATGGCAATTGAAAACGTTTCTAATGTGTTTAATTTTGCTGATTATAGAGTATAATTTGGCAAAATGTATTTTTGGCACGGTAACAGCGAAACGTAACAAACACAAGTCGACACAAATCCATCAATCAACATCAAATGAAAGCAGCTGTGACCAGGCTCAAGGGAAAGCACTGAAACTTGCTACCAGTGCCGCATCAAAGGTCCTCAGCATAATCCCCAAAGTAGCTTTGTAGCATAGGAAATATATATATAAATATATATCGAGTTTGTTGTATAAGAGTTTGTAGACAGGTACACGGATTTAGTTAGTCGGCTCTCAAATTCTCGTTAGTTGTAGAACTTTGCTCAACATTCACAGTTGAGATTGCCTATTTAATGCTTCCATTCAAATGTACAACAAAACTTTACGATTAACAGAGCTGAAAATAGAATGAGTGCTTAACTCGGTGCGGGTAGGAAGCAGACCTTATCTATAGCACTGCACTGGACCTTGTTAAGCTCGTATAAGCTTCAATGGTCAATAACGATTTCTGTTTTTGCTGATAAAAATCAAATGTTCAGCAATTATACATACAATAGATTGCACAGAAACACGACACTAAATTTGTTAAATGTAAATAAAATCAAACATTTAAAGTTCACAAGCTAAAAAAAAACTTTAAAACAAGCGCCAGTTTTTGTTTTTTTGATACCCTATACGGTAGGAGGGCGCATTACGACATACATATATTACAATGCGGACGTTTCGTGTGTATTGCTTACATATGTATATATACAGTTATGCACAAACGCAGACCAAGTATGCTTCCCGCTGCGCTGCAAATTCAAACGTAAACAGCACCCTACTATGCGATTCTCATTAATACAAGTAAGGCTTGCGGTTGTCATGCTTTCGACACTAAGTGTTTGTTTAACAAGTGATTTTGCAAATCTAATAAATGTTTATATTTATTGCATATGTGTATAAATATATATATTTGTGAGTGTGTGTTAAGAATGGTGTAGATGTTTGTGTTAATGTATGGATATATGCTTATGTGTAAGTGTGAGAGTGTGTGTGTGTACATACATGTTTGTACATATATATGTGTGTTTTTGTGCTTGGATGTTCTCTTATACCAAACGCAGCCCAAGTTTACTTGATATTTTGCTGCAAATTCAAATAACCGTTTTTATAAATGGCACCCTTCTATGCGATTCTCATGAATTGAAGTAAGCCTTTCATGTATTTATGCTTCGACTAAGTGTTTTTAGTAAGTCTAGTAACTTTATTTCCACTCATACTTTTTTCTCTGTCTTATTCTCTCTCTCCTTCGCTCTCTCTCTTTCTCTCTCTCTCCATCTAGCTATCTCTCTATCTCTATCTTTCTCCAGCTCTTAATCTAATCCGTTCTCTATTCGTGTTTCTTTTGTGTTTATCTCGTAATAACAAATAGCAATGAAATAATCGTGCTGGTGATTGTGAATTCCTGGGTAAGTGCATATATAAAATTATATGTGAAGGTCATTCAGAGCTGTGCACGAGATATATAAATATTTATTCGATTTATTTTTGGCTTATATCATGTTGGTCACAATAAGTTGTGTACTTTAATTTGCAGTCAGGGAGAAAAAAACGCAGCACATGTCGGTCATTCAATTAAATTTATTAATTTAATTACGTGGGGTATTTGCAATAATATTAATTCATGAATGTTCGATGTGTGTGTTCAAAAGTTAGATTAAAATATAATTAACTGGACAAAAATGGATAAAATCCCGACGACTGTGCAAAGATTATTTCCAGGTCACGCACTCTCGACTGATGCTTGTTGGCTTTTTTAACGTGAAAATCGAAAAACTACAATGTTGTGTGCAAAATGTCACATGAAACGTGCAGCTTCGGGCTATGCCTGGGCCACACGATTAGCTCATTGACACGTCCTGCTCATCAGAGTAGTTGATTCACATCGTTTTGGGGGCCACAGTGTTGGCAATTCAATTAAATGTGACTTACGTGTCCCGCAAACCAGCCAAAATGCGTTGCTTTGTTTTGTTTTGTTGTATTTTATATTTACGTATACTTAATATTTGTGCACAATGGGTTGGATGTTAACGGAGGTCCGTGCACTAGGCACACAGATCCTCAACGGATTCGCCTTGAAGGAGTAAACGCTGCTGTTCATGTTTGTTCTTCTTGTTGCCAGATTTGCCGCCAGAGCCGCCAGCGGCCTTGCCACGCCTACGATTAAGCACGCCATCCGTGTCATCCATCATGCGCAGTATTGTGGTCTGTTGTGCAAACATAAACACAGGCAATTGTATATGGAGTGTAATTTAGTTGAGATTGCAGTTACCTGATCTGAGCAATCCATGGGCGCCACTGATATATCGCGCACGGCTCGAAACTTGCCCACATTGTTGAGATGCTCGTTCTCCAGGCGGAAATAGTTCCAGATGAAGCGCCGGAACACCTCAAGCGGACTGAGTATGGTCATCATAACATCGCCCTCAATGTAGCCGGCCTGAATAAGGCTCATCGAGAGCGTCCAGCTGAAACGCAATATTAAATCCTCAATTATGCCAAAGTAATAGAACCACTGCAAGAAACAAGAGATGCCAGAAGTGGTGGAAGAGAAAAGAAGAGAAGAGCAGAGCAGAGCATAATAATGGATGGCTGCTTGAATGATTGTTTTACGTGCCATACGCTTGGCCAAATATTTATGGCTACCATTAGCCCCCACTCATAGCCCAACTCACCGTCGATGAATAAACGATTTCCTCACGCAAAAATCGATTGTCGCCCGCCTTGGAATCGAACAGGCCCCAGTCCATTTTGATGTCCCACGTGTAGGCGTAACAGGATGAGAACAGGGCCGCGGTTATCCAACAGTAGAACCAGGGATTCTCCTTCGACAGCGGATAGCTATCTGCAAGCACAGTGCGATTTGGGGCACATCAAATTAACATCAACAATGAAAATAACGCTAATTGGCAGCGCAACATAAACAACAGGCACCGTCTCCCTAGTTTCTGGGTTTCTCCTAATGGAGCACACGTGCCTTGCCCCACTTACCTGTTGTCGTATGGTATTTATGCGCAAAGATAACCACAAAGAAAGATGTCGCATATTTGGCAGCATTCACCAGATGTGGAAATGCCTCCTTCGTGTCCCGATAGCGTCGTATGCATTGGGCAAACCGAAAGTAGGCGGGCAAAATGGCCACAATGGGATGCAGGATTGAAACATACTGCACGCAGTGATTGCCAGCTAAAAGGACAAAAACATAATTTAAAAAAATAAAGTTAAGCCAGAGAATTAACTGTTGCAAGTGATTAAATTGCTTTTTTATAATCAACAATTCAATTCGAGCATTTGCAAAAAAATGATTTACAATGTTCAGCAGAAAAAGAAAATAATCATGAAAAACAAGTTGAAAAGTTGTTTTTGTCTAAATTTATGAAATCAGTTTTCTCCTGAACAAGCTGTATAAATTAACATAAATAATTTATTTTAATTCTTCGTTTTTTAAGAATATAAAATGGGAAAAAAAGTTGTTTTTTCTTTCCCAAATTACGAGTGAATGCACAGCATAAATTTATATTAGTTGACTTTAAGTTTAATAATTGAAGAACCGGTTCTTAGTTGGATGTGAGAAACCAGATTCAGGAACCTAGCCTTAGGGCTAGAGATCAGGTCGAACCGTAAACTCGAATATTTATATTTATTGGATTTAAAGCCTTTGTTTATTAAAAAGATGTTATTCAGCTTGAACTTGCATTATGATCCTAACTAATTACCTGTTCTCGATAAAGTATATCTATTTTAAAGTAATAACTATACCAGCGGCAGTTACTCACCTTCGCCCGCCTTATGCCACGTGGGATTGCGACCAAAGAAGCACATTAGAAAGGGTATGTCCAGAAATGCGGGCACCATGCTGTTCAGCTGATCGGCCAGCCAGAAATCCGCAAAGTTAACAAAGCAAAACGGAGCCATGATGACGCGACTGAGCACGCGCAGCGCCCAATAGCGGGCCTCGTGATGAAACGTCCTTGTGGGATTCAGCAGGAAGGTTACCATCAAGGTGTACAGAAACAGCGGAGCTGCATACTGTGGAATGCCCAATGGTTCGCAGAATATGTAGCACAGGACACAGCAGGCCCAAATGACGCCGAATACGGAAGCAATTTCCATAATGTTCTGCTCGGACAGATGATTGCGCGGATCTAGCTCAAAGATGAGCACATGATTGACACCGGACGAACGCCAGCCATAGACATTGACGCCCCAGAGAAAGAGGCATTCGGTGATCAGAAACGGCGCTCGGAACATGCGCAGGCCCACGCGCCAGTTCTCACCAAAGCCGTAGAACATGGCAGATATGATGACGGTCAGGAAGAGCACCACAAACGCACCGGAAAACAGGCCCACCTTGAATGTGGTCCAAGGACTCTGCTGCTCGCCCAGCGGCGGAACTCGCAAGCGCTTCATGGCGCCTGGAAAATGCAATAGCAAATATAATATCATATATCATCAGACTCGATAATTTAATACATACGTTGTCTGTCGCCGCCCTCAATGTCCTGGGTGACGGCCTGTTCCGTTTCCTGTATTAACCTGTCGATGTCTTTGTTTGTATAGAAATGCGCCGCCTCCACGTGATCGGTGCGCCAGCGTGCTCCAAAGTCCACGCTGAGCAGTTTATCGTGCTTCTTGAGTATCTTGCGGAAGCCAGTAAAATTTAAGTTCTGATAGTTTTGCAGCAGTATCAAACCCAAATAGAACTCGCTAAATGCCAACTTGAGATCCTGTAACTTGCGTGCGGGCGCATCCTTCTTGACCAGCGGTGTGCGCCGCTTCCAGGCGGGCTGCTTCTTCACATGGCCCAATTCCAAAGCCTCTGTCAGTTCGCTGCGCAGGCTGCCATATTTGCGCGTTGCCTCCGCCATCTTCTCCGAGTAAAAGGTATTGATCTTGGCCAGCTCCTTGTCGCAGTAGTGGAAGAACTCCTCATCAAACTTGGCGAAATAGCGTGTTACCATCTCGCGATCCACCAGCTCCGCGGAGGGCGCCTGCTCAATGGCTGCATACAGCATGGCCTTCATTTCCTGAAATACATGGGAGTATGAATAAAAGTGTTGCAAAACTATTTAAAAGTCCCGCCACAGCTGCAATCGGCATGTTATCGATAACAATTTAGAATGTTTATCGAGTCAACACGTTGTTGCACACCGAAACTAGTCATAACTAACGGGTTATGAAAGTGTGCATTTAGTTCTTACACACACTGTGTTGCCTACACTCTTTTCCCACTGTTTACGTTTGAGGCGAGCAAAACAAAAAGCGCGTTAGATGGAAACGGAAGGCGCATGCGCCGAATGGGCCACACGCCAAAAGCTTTCTCACACTTTTGACAGCTGGCCAGCCGTTTTTCACGTGACGTCATCAACGAACTGACAGCTAGGAAAAGCACACGCTTGTATTTTTATGGGATACATATTTTTCAGCGTATTTTTCGCCCACTTTTCGAATGGCTTACCTCATAATTAATGTACTGCTTGCGCCATTCTGGCGTTATATGCGCCGTCAAATGCTCGGCGAACTTCATCTCTGGCGGCTTAGCTCACTGCTCCAGCTGCTGCACTGCATCCGCATTGGACCAAACGGCGGACGATGGCAAAGATGCCTTTCCACGCGCACGTTTTCACGTAAACAACACAACTGGGCCAACGCCAGCGAAAGTTTTCGTTGATGGCCTGAATGCCATGCGAGCTAATGGCATGGCCGGGTGGGGTAGGGGGTCATGTGGTGTTGGGGTGTAGGGGGGCGACTCACAAGGAGCTTTCAATATGTAAATGCTGCCCTAGTCCTACGCCGACCAATGTCAACAAAAAGAAAGCGCCAGATGAGTTGCCAAAAAGCTAGCAGAACAAATTAATAGATGAAATGATGAATTTAATAGAAAAGCGAGGGTGGCAACTATTTTTAATGACTAACTAAATTATTTAGTAAATGCACTAGAAAATAAAAATAATTACATATGTGCAAATACTTAGCCAAAAGTAAAAGAATCTGTGCAGAAGATCTGCCAAAAACTATTGAAGCTGTCTCCACTGAGATAAGAAAAACTCACAGGAAATTCTCAATTTGATTGAATACCTTAAACAAAATATAACATAGTAGTCGAAATTGTATAGAATCATTCGAATTTTCCTGGAATAGCCGTACGTAAGTAAATGATCATATAAGAAATTTGTATATTCTTTTACGTAACCATTCCACAAACATATGCACAAATAGTAATAATAAAAAAAATCCCGGTGGCAGTAATAAAAAATCAATTTCTAAAAAAACAGTTTCATGGTGGAATCAAATCGGGTCTAACAGTTGGTCGGACTGTTCGCTGGCTGGTTCGGTCGCTCCCGTCTTATCGCAATTGTCGGCACACCCCGCCCCTACTTCTTCCTCTTCTCTAACGAGCTGGGTAATGTGCAAGTTTCAGATTTGATTAAAGAACGGTCTGTTTCGGCTGCTCCACGCATCGAGTTGCTCGCCTACATGATCGAGCGGAGCCGGAGAACCGAGAGCGTAACAAGCAAACGTCATAGAAGCCCGCAGTTAGCTCCGGCTGCAGCTGTTAGTAGTTGATTGGTCTGCGCGGTGGCAACTCATCCAAGTGCTTGACAGCGAAGAACAACGCCTAGGCTGACTGAGAACCCCACTCGGAGGCTTTTTATAACTTATCAGTGACCGAGCACAGTAGCGGGGCGATAATTGTCCAAAGTTTTTGATATAAATTCAACGTATAACTCAGCCCATTCGCCATTCCAGTTGCAAAGCGCCAGACAAGATGCCTAAGGGAGTGCAGCCGACCGCAGAGCAAATATCCGAGGTGAAGAGCCGGTTTCTGGCAAAACTGGCCTCCGAACCGCCGGCAGGTGAGATAAGCTGACCAAAAACTCGAACTGAAATATATGACTCATGTCTTTGTTGTCGTCATCAGTTGCCTTTCATCCCAACGATCTGGCGCGTATTAATGATAATGATATCTGGATCTCGCAGCTTCTGGAGGCCTACAATTTGGATGTGGAGAAGACAATCACGCGCTTGTGGGAGAACTGCGAATGGCGCCAGAGTTTCGGAGCCAACGAAATTAACGAGTCCAATGTAAATCAGGAGTATCTGCATGATGGCGAAATCTATGTGCACAACCAGGATAACGAGGGCAAGCCCTTGCTCATTGTGAACATCTCGAAGCACTCGAAGAGCAAGAACCAGGACGATCTAATCCGTCTGGTCGTCTACTGGGTGGAGCGCATTCAGCGCCAAAATTATCTACAGAAAATAACACTCTTCATGGACATGACCGGATCGGGCCTCGGCAATTTGGACATCGACTTTATTAAGCGTATTATCCAGCTGTTCGAGACCAAATATCCGAATGCGCCCAACTACATTCTGGTGCACGAGCTGCCCTTCCTGCTCAATGGTGAGTCCATTCTCAGCCAAAATTGATCTTGTTTTAAAACTCGTGAATTCCTATTTTAGCGGCTTTTAAAGTGGTCAAGAACTTCATGCCCGCCGAAGCCCTGGAGATTTTGCGCGTGACCACCAAAAAGGACATCAACGAGTATGTGAGTAAGGACAACTGCCTGAAGATCTGGGGCGGCACTGATGAATACTCCTACAAGTTCACACCTAACTAATTCCAGGCCTTATATGCATATATACTTATATAAATTGTAAATAATATATAGTTTATTTTCTGAATACCCAACAGGCATTTTTAACATCCCCACACAGGGTATTCCTGTTTCGACAATTAATATGCTAAACAAGGAAAGGTCAAAGGTATATATGTTCTTGATCAGAAGCAAAAGCTGGTCCGCTATAGGCATGTGTAATCTCTCAGCTTTAAAGCTCTTGCCATGATTAGCCCCTGTATCATAGAACTTTCATGGGATTAGACCTCTATATCATATAGCTGTAATAGGAATACTCCGTCAATAACTATAAACTCTTTCTTGTTTTTCAAATTTAGGATTTCTTATTTTTACCATGCTCCTTAGATCTGTGCAAAAATTAACATCGAAATAATATTTCATATAGCCGATAAGTTATTGGCAAATTAAACTCTTGTAAAAGCCGTTTGTTTTTTAATTGGCTTGTCAACACAGAAGTGTCGATTTCAAGAGTAATTAATCAATGGATAAATATTACACCCAGCATGGTTCTACGATTAAATCATCCTATCTTTCAAATACTATTCTATAGGTCTATTGGAAGAATCAGTCGAACAATGAGAAAAGTGAAAACTTACAAAATCTTTAACCAAACGCAGCAATTAAAAGCTTCATATTGGAATTCTATATCAAAAAGTTCCCAGATCCCAGTTGGAAGAAAGAGAACAATTTTGTTGTATTTAAACTATATCACTTAGCTGACATAAAAACAATCGATTAAAATAACGGTTATGCCTTAAGATACTTTTTAGCCATATGCCGCAAGGGTATTAAGTTTGCGGCGTGTCAAATTGCACAGCTTGAGTGCAAGTTTTTGCTAATCTCGCTCAGCTAAGCTTTCGCTCAGCCAAGCTTTCGCTCAATGCTCAAAACTCATTTGGATGCAGTCGGCGTAGGGAAACGATCACGTTCTATTGCAGCAGCAGCAGCGGCAGAGGCGGGCGATAGCTGCCCTTTTCAAGGCGTTCCATTGGGTGTATTGGTGCTCCACATCGCCTCGCCTCGCACGCCAATCGAATGCCAATTACCGATCGCTGATCGCTGTACAAAACCGTTAGTTGGTCGCCGACGCTCGTGTAAAGCACTTGCATTCGTTAATTGTCGCGTGTTGTTGCCTGGAAATATTGGAAACTAAAATCTTATCGCTTTATCGTGCTGAGAAAGTGGATTATCGATTTGACGAGTGGCACGCGATAAGCACAGAACTAAACTTAATTTAACTGTTTTCACAGTTCAATGTTTAGTCTGTGCACAATTGTCGAGTGTTCACAATGGGCGTTACAGTTAAGAATCCCAGCGCAGCGCAAATCGAGGAGCTGCGCCAAAGATTCAACACCAAATATGCCGCCTCGCCGCCTAAAGGTGAGTGCAGTTGACCTCCAGCTGCAGCCTATTCACTCAGGTGTAAGCCCCAGAGCCGCTCGACTATCAAGTGTTATGTATATACGCATTATGGCTCATATGCATATTTACAGAACATTTTAAATGAGCCGCATAGGAGTCGCATATCGCTTGTGAAAAGCCATTTGTAGTCATAAAATATTATTACAATCGATTGCTTATTTACTTTGTGAATACAATACGTTTTCTGTTGATTACGGAACCAAACGTCGCGACTGGCTGTATAAATAAAAGATATACAGAATTCCAACCTTCATGTGATCTTCACTGATCTTTAGTAGATAAAGCTTTAAAAATGCATTTTCCGGCTTGAATAATTTGTAAATAACTCTTCAAGAATGCATTTAATTGTTTAACTAATCGATTTGTCAACTTTATTAACCCTTATCTAAAATTGAAAATGAGTTAAGATTGTATATAAAAGACATTGAGAATTCTAGATATGAGATATTTGGGGTTAGAATTGTAAATAAAAGACATTTAGGATTGGATCTGAATACTGTATTAGGGAATGCAAAGTTCAAAGTTCTTTCAAGAATTCTCCTAACTTTTTCATCGATCCATTATTATGTTATTTCTCCATCATTAACCCTAATTTGTCTAATGACTAATAATTAGCTAAAAAAGCAAAGTTAAAAAAAGTTTTAACATTATTTTGGATGATTTAATTCCAGAACCCTTTCATCCCATAGACATTGATCGCATACGCAACGATCATGTCTGGCTGCAACGTTTTCTGGAAATGCACGATCTGGATATGGAGACGTCCTTCAATAAGCTCTGGGAAACCTGCACTTGGCGTCAATCTTACGGTGCCAATGACTTGACCGCGGACAAACTGAATCAGGAGTACCTGACTGAGGGCTCAGTATTTGTGCATGGTCAGGATGTGGATGGCAAGCCGCTGCTGATCTTTCGGGTCAGATTGCACAGCAAATCCAAGAATCTGGATGAACTGATACGCATCGTCGTCTATTGGATAGAGCGCAAGCAGCGCGAGAGCCACTTGACCCAGTTGAGCATATTCTTTGATATGGCCGGCACGGGCCTGGCAACCATGGATCTGGACTTCGTCAAGCGCATTGTGGAAACTTTTAAGCTCTACTATCCCAATGCTCTTAACTATATACTGGTTTTTGAGCTGGCTTGGGTTCTGAACGGTGGGTTTCGTCAGTTCATCCATTTTAAACTTTGACACTCAACATTTTGCAACTGTTTGTAGCCGCCTTTAAGGTCATCAAGACTCTGCTGCCGCCCAAGGCGGTCGAGATATTGAAAATGATATCGAAAAAGGACGTCACGCAGTATGTGCCCAAGGACAATTGTCTGCTCAGCTGGGGTGGCAATGACAGCTACGAATTCCAATTTGTGCCCGAGTCCAAACGTCCGCCAGCCAAGCCGAAGGCCGCAAACGCCGGCGATGACGACCAGCCACATGAGGACATGGGCTTGGATAAGAAGGTAAGTGACCCATAACCCAGAGCCAAATACGTGTGCTTGTCTGTGTTTGAGTGTGTGTGTGTGTGTGTGTGTGAGTGTGTGCAGTTCTCTATTTGGGTGTGTTTCATT